GCTACGTGATTTTTGCCTTGGCATGTGTCTGCCTGGAGTGAAAATCATATATTATTCATTTAAACCTGAATGGGAACATGTCTTTTTTAAAAAGATGTGATATTTTAATAAGTCAAATTTTAGTTCAGACACTGATGCATGTATTGTTTATCGTAAATATTTATAGGGTGGTCACAATAATGCTGATTTTATTTATATGTTGTAATTCTGTTTCACAAATAATGAAACATATTTATGACATTTATACAAGCAACATCTTTCGTAAAGATCAGATAAGTGTTGCATAGGATCTGGGACTATAGAACACACATGTGCTCCAAATAGCTTGTGTTTAATGGGAAAAACACAGCAAAGTGAGTGAAATGAACTGCCAGAACGTTTTATATCTGAAAGAAGGACAGTCATGCTTAATAGCAGCACCAATGCAGATGTTCATGTTGCTTACAGACTGCAGTAAAAATACCGTCTCGCCAATGAAGAGATTTCAAGGGTTTGTTTAAAATAAAAGAGCTATGCCTTGCTAAAATCTGTCTTAACACAGTCAAGCTCCAAGACCTAGGCAAGAGTCTGAGCACTTCTTTGTGTTACTGTACAATATTCTCTATGTGTAAGGTTTCTACTACCTGTTTGTTAATAAAACACAGTAGGAATAAGTTTGGTTTTAAGCATCACGCTAGCAGTGGACTTCTTAAACAAATAGATTGAACTCCATGGTAGCCGTGGCCCCCGGTTTCTGCAGTGTGATGTCAGAAACATGAGGAAATTCATCAATAGAAAAACTTCTTTTTTTTTTTTTGAGTGAGCTTTGCTGACTTGTACTGTGCTTGTCTGTATTAGTGAAATAATGCTTAGGTGTGTATGGAAGTCACAACTGTGGTGGGTGATGCTGCTGCTCTGCCTTGAGCTGTCTTTCCAAACGTACAACGCTGTATGCCGATTTAGATTTCTGCCTATTATTGATCCTATAAATTAATCCTGTATTTTGTTATTTCCTTGGGTTTTACTGGCTATGCTCCCATGTTTTCTCTGGCACTGCAACTCAAAACTTGTGAGAATGTTGTGCCTCCAGAAGAACCTATGGGATTATGCAATTAAGGGTTTATTGTGGAGTGTTTTTTCCACCCCCCTTATTATGTGTGATTAGATTACATAGTCCCTTTCTAACCTTAAAACCTCGGTAATTAAATTTCAGACTTAGCAGATACTAAACGTAACATAAAATCTTTCATAAGGATCCATCTCACCTGACAGTGGCCAAAATGAATCCCTAGGGAACAGCGTCTGGAAGAAGGGTGCAGTGAACCTTCCCCAGAGTACTCTCCCAGACTCTGACAGGCATCCTGGAAACAACCTGAGCTAATGGTGGTGTATTGGGATTTTTCATGTTCATGTTTGTCCAGTTGCTTTTGTAACCCATGTGAACTGCATGAGCTACAACAGCAGTCTCCTGCGATTCCCAATTACTTGTTACTCTAGTAACAAGCTTGCATACAAAAGTGTGTCTTTCTCCCTTATTTTAACTACAGACTACTTACACTCTTTTCCTCTTAGTTACTCTTCTAGTTTTTGCTCTGTTCATTTTTATTTTCCTACGTCACAGAGATTTTCCTGTGGATTAAAAGGAAGTAGGACCAAAACCTTATTCTGGAGCATAGAAGCCAGTTTTGATGGATGTGCTTATGTTGTGACTATGCAACCTTCTGCAGCAAATGTGACTAATGCACTTTTTTCTCTCTGCTCCTTTAAGCAAAGCAAATCAGCTGTGAGATTGAAGGAGGACATGAAAAAGATAGCCGCACTTCCACTGAACAAGCAGAGGGACACAACCTGTCCAAAGGTGTTTGGTGTGAGTCTTCTGGAGCTCCAGCAGCAGGGACTGAGCAAGAATGGCATCCCAATAGTTGTGTGGAATATAGTCGAGTACCTCACCCAGCATGGTAAGCTTAATGGAGTCACTTCTGCTTAGTAGCACTCTTTTTGTAAGACTCTTCAAAGGGAGGGATCCATCTTTTTTGTGGTACAGGGGCTAAATAAGGTTGTGGCACTAACCACAGGCAAAGAATATTACTGTATGTGGTTTGCTTCTGGGTTTTTTTCCTGCCTTGATGCTGAACTTACTTTTTAATAGGAAGTTTATAAAGGTAAACTACAGTGTTATGAAGCAGCACACTCTCATAAACAAGCTGTTCAGTTTATAAATGGAATGTATTTCATTTGTGAAGGTTTGTGTCATTTTCTAGTTGCAAAACATTTAACACTTTCTGACAGTGAGAAGACAGAAGTATCTATATATAGATATTCACGTGCACACACACACCGTCAGAGAACATTACTGAATAGGAATACATGTTCTTACAGGTTTTCAGATAGATTCCAGTTATTATTAATCCCCTCAAGGGGGAGAAGGTATCCAATTCTTAGCTTCTCTTTGCATTAATTTAATGGGACTTTAGTTCCTGTTGTTGAAATACATCTCAGCAGAAATCTAGAGCACCATTGGTGCACAGATGTATTCTGTGGCAGTTGTTCAGCAATGGAAAAGATTTTGTGGAGGTAATTTTATCTTGTAAGAGGCTGCATCTGGTTTTACCCTAAGGTTTTTCTTTTAGCTACTCAGTAATGATAATCCAATTGTAGAGCCTTAGATACCATTTGTGCACATATGTATTCTGTGGCAGTTGTTCAGCAATGGAAAAGATTTTGTGGAGGTAATTTTATCTTGTAAGAGGCTGCATCTGGTTTTACCCTAAGGTTTTTCTTTTAGCTACTCAGTAATGATAATCCAATTGTAGAGCCTTAGATTCCATGTCTGTATCTTGATAGACTCTTAGAAGCCGATAGATGCAAACATGGCTTGAAAGTTAGCTTGGATTAAGGTACAGTGCAAATTTAAAACATGATCCTGCCTTTACACAGCAGCATCTTGCTTGATCTACTTCAACTTGCCTTAAAGTGGTCTGCTAGAACACTGAAAGAGCAAGGGTGGAAAAACTTTTTGCATCATTTAGGGTTTAGTCAAAACCAGAAGCTGACAGACAGTCTTGACTGCAAGTTCTCAGCTGTGCTCTGTGTTCCATAAAAAGATCTGAATCCCACATGACTGTCTCCCAAATATGAACTGAACAAGCCAAGTCCTCCACTCTGCAGCAAGATTAGCTAGGCTTCTGAATGCCAAGTTGATTATCCAGCCCCGATAAAGACACAATCCATTCTCTTTCTCAAAAGTGCAAGCAAGATCTCAGAGATGCCCTCTTACATGGGAAGTTCTTGAAATGGGTGTCCTGTGCTTGCTGAAGGTTTGTTTTGTGAATTAATGATGAAGCTAACTGAGGAGACATTTTCAACAGAGGCCCAGGTATGAATTCAAACTATTTGGAGGCAGAGTGTTCTGTGAATCATGGTTACTGTTTGTTCAGTATGGTCTTAAAACTGCTATTCTGCAAAGATGTAATAGACATTGTAGGGCTTTTTAAAGCCAGACCATTTCAGAGTCTCTCTTCTAGCTCATGAGGAACTGACTACCCATTTGAAAAAGCTGAGCTGACTGCTGGGCAGCTACATCCTTGAACTAAGTTTGCATTAAGCTGCCTATTTTCAAATTTATAGGTGAAGCCAAGTTTTCCTATGCTGAATTTAGTAGTATCTGATTACTGTTACCAGTGTGTTCTAGCCTCTCTTTATTTCCATAAATGACTGAGGAAGAGGAAAGGAAGTTTTATCTGCGTGGGGACTGTGTCCTTTGCTCACTTAGTGCTGTAGAAATGAAAGTCATTATTGAGATGTGGTGTTTTCTGCTGCCCCCAAGATGGCAGTACAGCATGCCACATAAGAATGCATTTTGTTGTGAATACAGGAATACAAGACCTGTAAGCAGTATCTTATATTAGTCAAGTAAAATGCTTGAATGCTTGTCCATTTTTTTTCCCTTACTAGATCAGTTTGTCTTCTGGTCCAATAAAAGAGATTATTTCTTTCTGGAAGCGTTCTGTCAGGCTGCTGTTTCGTGATGTCTGCTCTGAACTGATGAAAACCATATATATTTTGATCCTTTCAGTGTTATGCTTCTGAAGAAGAATAAGCAGGTCTGTAGACACAGTATTAGAAAAGGCAGAATTTTTGTAGTGAAAGTGTTCTAGAGAAAAATTAATTTACTGAGTTCAGTTTTAGGCACTTTACTGAAGGTTTTGAATCTCAGCATATGCCTAGAAAGTGATGTTTGATACAATATGATTCATCTGGCTTCCTCCATGGAAACCTCCTTCTTTCTGCATCTCCTTCACTGGGTATGGGGTGCCTGGCCTGAAGTGATCGATATCTTTTCTTTTTCATTGTGAAACACTTTGGGCTTCGTGCTGTCCAAAATACACATTTGCTCACTGAGATTTTCTGCTATCGTGAAGTTGCAGTGCTCATTATGGAGTTACTGCTACAATCAGCACATATTCAGATGTTTTTGCTTCATGATGGCCACAGGTAAGAAGCTGTTACCCTAAAATGTGAAGCTGGAAGTAGTCATGTGTGTGAATTTGGCAGAGTCCTGCTCAAGGTAACAGGCTACTCGCAAAAGTGAAACAACAAAACTGTTTTGTAGAATCTGGATCCTTTTCTGTTGAAATACACCAATGCAAAATGCGGCTGTCTCAATTGATTTCTGCATGGTGTGAGGCTACAGCAATGCCACTGAGTTTTGTGGGTTCTCAAAGAGTATCCCAGGCCTCAAGATCTGGTCACTAGTATTTGTTAATTATCATAATCCGATTACTTGACTAGAGGGGGTTTCTGGGGGGAAAAGAATATTTTTTTTTCCAACTGTGTTGTATTAATTGCCCTCCTTTGTATTACTACAAGTGTCTTATTCACACTAGAATATCTGTTTCATCATATCACTGGGGTGTCTTAGTTCAAATCAATCTCATATGCAATATATAATTACAGGTATGACACAGGAAGGCCTCTTCAGGGTAAACGGCAGCATGAAAATGGTAGAACAGTTGCGTCTGCAATACGAGCGTGGAGAAGAGGTGGAACTTGTTAAAGATGGTGATGTGTACTCAGCAGCCAGTCTGTTGAAATTATTTTTGAGAGAGTTGCCAGATGGGATTATCACCTCTGCCTTACATCCCAGGTTCATTCAGCTTTACCAGGGTAAGTGAGAGGTAAAATCTCCATCCTTCAGTGCGATTTCTTTCTGGATAGTTGGTTATGCAGTGAGCATAACCAATACTCTCTGTTTCTTGGTTTACCTAATTTGTTCTGCAGTTCCTTTGACTTTAGCTCTCACCTGCTCCCAGATTGCTCACAGATGTGCAGTTCTGTTACAAGAGAGAAAATTGTTTATGTGTTTGGTAAAGTCTGGACTATTTATGATTTTCTAATCCAGTTACAACTGCTGAATATAAACTGAAATGATCAGCTGGTTTCGTTGAGCAAGCTTGTAGACAATAGCTGCAGTCTCTTTAGGACACAGATTTGCTTGCTTCTGTTTTGCTAGGGTGATTTCTGGCAATTTCATTCTGATGGACTCTGAAAAGTTACAACTTCATCTGCTAATCAAATTGAATATCCATTGGGCCCAAAGCATACGTTGTCTAAGTTTCTACTTCTCACTAAGTAATATGATTGCCCATCAAAAAATGTGCCAGTTTGCAAGTAACAGCAGACTTTTATCTTTTATTCCCTGTCATAGCACACAACCTAGAAGACTTCTTTTTTCTTTTTTTTTTCCCTTCAAGTGATGGATCAACCGTAAGAAAGAACATGACTTCTGCTTTAGAAAGTTGAAACTTGGACAACTGTCTGTCAAATGATTTCTTAGTCTAATTCATCTGTATCAGACAGTCCATGGTGTTGTTATGTGGAATAGGTGGTTGGCCCTGTTCCTTGACCGTGTGGGTCAGTGGCAGTTCTTTTCTCTTGCTGCAGGCGGTTGATGCCTCTTCTTGCTGTCTTTCTAAGAAGCTGCAAAGTGAGTGGGTAAATGTAACTAGAGATGTGCTCTTTACAGTAAAGCAGGCAAATGTGATGCATGATGCAGAGGAGGAACGTGCACCCTGATATGCATCCCTAGTGGAAGACGGTGCAAAGTTCTCACATTCTTGTCCTGAGGTCTCCCTTCTGCTTTTCTTGCCTGCAGTGGAGATGAAGTTTAGCCATTGCCTGGAGGAGGGAGAACACGACCGTGTCTTCTCTGTCTTTTCTGTTTGGGGCTGTACAGACTGTTGAGGCTGCGCTGGAGAAGAGCTCTGTGCCTTCCCTTGAGTGCAGGCATTTCAGCTGTAATCAGATTGTATGTGGGCTGTGTAAAATACCTTCCTCGTTTAGTAAAGTTGTCTGGGGCCCAAGGGTAGGGTTCTGGAAGCGTTGTGTGGGAAGGTGCCATTGTTTTAGAAAGTCCCTCTTTTCTGGTCATAGCTGTGCTTTCTTTTGGGTCTTTTGGACTTCACCGGATCTGACTCATGAGCTGTATTTAATCATGTTCTTTCTCATAAATCACCATTTAAGTGGAAATTTTTTTTAAGTTGCACCTTTGCTGTTCTACGTCCCTGTCCCCACAAAGGTCATATCGGTGTTTTGCACCAGGAACTACTGATGTACTTTGTCAACAGTGCTGTTTGTGGAAAATTTCATTCATTCCTGCTTCCCACAGGAAATGCAAAATCCCCCCAGTACTTTCTATGGAAATGAGATAGATATCCTTACTTAGCAGACTTACCCACCAAACTTTCTTGTTTCAAAAACAGTTACTGGTGTAACTTATGAACCCAGTTCTGCAAAAGTCAGTCCAACTGTGACGTGTCTTCGTAGCTAAGTTTGCCTGTATTGCACAATAAGCTCCAGTTATAGTTCCATTATAATTTTGATTAGAAAAAAAAATCTTATTTGAAAAATGCCGGATTGGCTGTTATAGCAAGGGGAAGGCTTGTAAAGTTTGAAGAATTGGCTGGTGGGTGGGGTTTGATTAGAAAAAAAAATCTTATTTGAAAAATGCCGGATTGGCTGTTATAGCAAGGGGAAGGCTTGTAAAGTTTGAAGAAAGCTGAGCGTTTTTTCATGCCCTAGAAAATACAGCATAAATGAGTTGCTATGAAAGGCACTGATGACTTTCATTGGGTTGAAATTAACTTAAGTGGTAGATGGGCCTTTGTTTATAGTTAAATGATCAACCAGCTATGCAGGATTGGAGGAGTTATCTATTCAGTTATCAAAGTATGTACAAGGGTATTCGTTGCAAAATGGTACCAAGAGGGTGTGTGCATGGGTGTTCTTTTTGTAAACTATGAAGAAAGTAGGTCAAGCTGTTTCTGAGCCAACAGGTTATTAAAAAATAACTTTGAATCTGGAGCCACTTCACTGCATGTCTATGGTGAAGGCAATTACAAGCTTTGTTACAACCTCTGTGTTCCCTCCTGTTGAAGCTTTGCATGGGAAATAGTGTTTTTGTGATTATGTTAGAGTTCCTTTGGAATATTTTCAGGGATTGGTATCAGCATTTTTTTAAGACAGCTGAGATCTTGGCCCGAGAATAACACGCAGTTACTTTACTTCCTATAAAAATTGTTAGGGAGTGATTCCTCTAGTTAAAAATAGCTGGACTGAAAATTACAAATTTTACCTGTAGCTGTAACCCTTTTTAATTCCAGGTATAATCTTTGTTACCAAACCAAAGAGTAAATAATCTGTTGTTTTATGAAAAAGAGAGAACTTGACCCATTGGTAGTTCAGGAAGCCCACGCAGCTGGTTTGGCATGCTGTCTGCAGCCTGTGCAACGTCGTGTGAAACGAAGCTCTGCACGCTGCCCCCAAATCCTGACGCGTTGCTGTTATATAAATACTCAGTGTAATGCCAAGACTATTCAGTTCCAGAAAACATCACATAGCATATCCTAAAGGCCGTTTGGTGTGTCCTGATGTTCTGTCTCTGCCCTTGGAGAAGGTCAGTGGCAGTGGGAGCTGAGAAGGGCTCTCTCTGTAAATGATGTTGATCGGACATGTGTGTAGCAAGTGCAGGCCAGGGACACAATGATAGTGATCTTTGTGTTGGCCGGTCTCCTCAGAGTGCCTGACAAATATGAAGGCTGCTCCTTGCAGGGAGTCCTGGGGTAAAAAATATCCATTACAATCTCTTCTGTGACTAAGGCTTCACTGCAGACCAGAGCTGTGCCTGCCCATGTAAAATAGGCCGTGCTTACAGAGCGGTGAAAGTTTCTTTCAGAAACCTCGGCTGGAAGAAATCAGCAGCTTCCGTACAGCAATCCCTGCTTGAGCTTGTTTATTCCTTCTGGCTTTTCATTCCTTATCTCTTATATCGTGGTCACTGACTCTTAAGACATTTGTACATACTAGGAACTGTATGCAGAGCTCTTAGCCCCTTTCACAGGTCACTTGCTTTCAGCAAGGCAGGTTGCTGCTGTACTTTCACTTTTCAGCTTACAGAAAGCTTTTCCCTTATGTGAATTTCTTTTTTGTCGTCGTTGTTGCATTCCCTCCTCCAGTGGGGGTACAGTGAAATGTGGGGTCTTGTCTTCCTTTGGGACTCAGTCTAATTAAGTTGAATGCTATTTGATCACTCTGGCTTCTTGACATTGTTCCATCCTAGAGAATTTATATTTTTTGGTGAGCAGCAGCTAGATGCAAGTTCTATCTCACATACCTCCTCCTGCTCACAGCCTGCCATGGCTGGCAAAGTTTTGTCTGGTGCCCATGAACAGCCCTGCTAGTTTTGGGGAGAGGGATGGCAGGTGGTGGAAGGGAAGGAGCAGCTCCCTTCTGGATCAACAGGTCAGTTTAGGGAATGCTTAGTAGCCAGCAGCTGTTTGAGTTACGTGAACAAGCAGAGCCAAAAATATAGGTTGTGTTGGGGGATTTTTGAGGTCAAATTTCAACCTGAACAGTGACTGTGAAAATGAATAAATGAGTGTGAAAATGAGTAGATGAGAACTGGCCCTTTAACCATGGTAACTGCAGCGGTGCAGCAAATCAGATTCACTAGTTGTCCATGGTTCTTCAGGCTCTTCTGGTATGATTTTAACCTTTTCCTTTGGCTTTTATTGCCATTTTGGTGTTATCAGGACTAGTTCCAAACTAGAGAAATAACTTCTGTTTTCTACATGCAGAAGATGTTTGTTATGCAGTAAAAACTCTTGGAACTGGATTTCTTATGGAGATGATGACATTCAGCAGAGCCGCAAAAGAAGGGAGAGTGCTCTGCTCCCAATATGTCGGAGTGAAGCATAAATACAGCTCTGCAAAGTGCCTTAATGATGCAGAGTGAGGGGTCTCAAGTTGGATTGTGATGACAACCTTCTTATGATGAGGACTTCCAGCATTTCTGCTACTGATGGCAACAAGGCGTGTTTTTTGTTGGTTTTTTTTTTTCCTCTGAGGCAGGATCGTGTCTGAAGCAGATTGCTTCTTGGCAGAGAGAGACTGGAGTCCCACTTCCCGTAGATTGTGGAGGTGGAAAGAAATGCTTTGATTCCTCCAACAGCCCAGTTGGTGCAGTGGTACTGCAATGTACAACCTGCTGCCTATGTGCTGAAGATTAACTTCCTAGGGCACATTGATAGCTACAGACAGATGCAAGCTTTTCTGTCTGCTCTCCAAGCTGGTAGTATGCAAGGCAGGTGAAAGCTATGCAGACGTGGTAGCATGACACTGAGCCCTAGACACTCTTCCTCGCCTCACAGCAGAGATAATTAGCTAGGGCATGACACCGTGCTGATATGATTTCAGTGCTTCCAGGCTGGAGTTGTTTGGGGTCAGACCATTTGAGACAAGAGCAAAGCAATTACACACACCTGTCTGCAGGCATCCATACCTTTAGTGATGTTCAGGCAGCATGCTCTGCAGGGGGAAGGAGTAGCATGAAGAGGGATGAACTGGGGAATTAGATCATGTCTGTAGCATCTCAAAGAAACTCAATATGTTCAGAAATAGGATGAACCATTGGAAAATATGTCCCTCTTGTTGTGATCTGTGGGTGTATACTGAAATTAAATGAGACTGAAAACACCCTTGCAAATATGTCTGTGCCTCCTACACTGTTGAGGCTCCTGTTTCGAGTTAATTAACATTTTTAGAGAGACTGCCTGTCCTTTTCAGTTGTCTCCTTGACTCGTCCCTCAGTAGCGAGTCGCTAGCTCACTTCTGAGGTGCCACACTGCCCTTCTTTGGCCCTCTGCCTGTCATGCTGTGTTCTGTGTCCTCCTGCTGCTGAGCCTAGACATGGCCTGAGGCTGCTGGTTTTGTTCCCTTCCTGAGCCCGGAAACCACCATCCCATCCCTGGTTTCAAGCCCTTCCTGGCTGCTCATCTAGGTAGGCTTCTCTTGCAGACCTCTGCTGGGGTTCTGTCTGCTTCGCGTGGCTTCTGGCAGGCTCCCAAAATAAAAAAGCAAATGCCTTTGACTGCCTTGAGAACACCTTCCCCTTAGCCTTCATTCTCCTTTTACTCCTTTCTCCTTCTCTCTGCTGTATTGGGCAAAATTTTCAAAAGACCTTCTGTACTGTGCTTGAAAATCTCGAGTGTGTTGGTAGCTGGGCATATCTGGAAATATGGCTTGAATATAGGTTCCTGAATTGCCTTTGAAAATCTGGTACTCTGCTGTTTCCATTATTGACAAGCTCGTTTGTCTTGTCTCAAGATGCTGCAGAGACTGAAGCATATGCTTAGCTTCGTGCCACCCCCTTTAATCTGACTGAGTAAGAAAGACTGCACTTGGTAGTCTTGACTTCCCCGGGACAGCTTGTTCTTCACAAAATTCGGCATGTACATAAGCTTAGGGCTTTAGTACACTTGATGCTTCTCTGTATGGTAGTATAAACAGCTCTGGTGCTCTAATGTTTCTCTGATGGTCAGTACCAGCTGAGTAAACCTTAGTGATTGACTTTGAAGCAAATTGAAAAATTGTCTAGCAGGTGGACAAAAGGAGGAGGAATGCTCCAAGCATTTGGTTGTCATGACTCAAAACTATTTTTGCTCTCTAATAAGTTGAAAAGCTGTTTTTTTTTTTTAAGTAATATGGTCATGGACAGCAGATGTATACTTGTCCTGAAAAATGTACAGAGTGCATGGAATACTGTGTATGCATGTCACTCTCTAAATTCACCACGAATTGTAACAGTAATTTCTAAAAATAAAGCTGAAATCCGTGAAATAACTGTCAGCAGCAGGAGAATTATCAAATTAATTTTGATTTTTTGATTGTATTGGGAGAAAGGCTTGAGTTCCTTCCCTTGCTTTTTCACTGGAAAAGGAGGAGAGAGGGGAAAGCCATATTTTCTTTCTCCCATTTCACAAGGACAAGGAATTTCATGGCTCGGTAAATGGGGTTTGCTGCCTCGTGTTGTTCAGTGTCTCTGTGTCCTTCAATTAGGGTAATTTCTCAAGATCTTATGATCTGATACCTGTCTCTGTTCTTGAAAGTACAGAAATGAACAAAGGTTTGGCTGTGCCCAGCGATAAGCATCTCTGATGTTGATCTGCACCACATAATATATCATGGTTAATGAACAGGGACATCCTACCCACCAAATACAACTGATGCCACAAGGCCAATAGCTTTGTTTGTTGTCAGAGTGCAAACCTGTGTTCAGAATGTTTTGTAGAGGTTATTAGCATCTTTCTAGTTTGGAAGGGATGGAAAATCCTTCAGTAAACGGAAAAGTACCTGTCAATCTAAAGCCCCAGTGGGAGGCTCAGAGAGGCAATTAGTTCTCAAGGGCATTCCCTAATTAGGTGGTGGGGTGATGGTGGTGGAAGAGGTGTGTTTTTTCCGAGAGATGGCTTTGGCTTTCCTTATCATAACTGCAAGCAATTTATAGTAGAAAACACTATGTGCTAGTTGTTTTGCTATCTGAAGAGAAGTATGTTAGGAGGTGAATTTTAATGTTCTGGCTATGTGGAAATTAGTTGTGCTTTGTTTTTCTTTAAGCTTCATGAAAAGATAATTAGTAATCAAATCAGAGACTGTCCAGTCCACTTTGATCAGTGCAAATACAATTAAATTCCTTATTGTTATTCTGTTTAATACAGCCTTCAGAAGCATCCTGAAATTTTGCTGCAGAAATAAAAATGATAAATCAGATTTCTTACTGTTACCAAGCTGATTCACAGTAGTGAAGTCGTGATTGTTTTTATTCTGTATAGCTCTAAAAAAATTTTGAAAGAAATACTTGCGATAAATAAGCAAATAAGATTTTTGCTCATCTGCTTCATGCATATTTGATATTTGACTTTTCTGAAGGAGCTAATTTCTTAGCTATAGAGGAATAGGATATAATTAATCGGTTGGTTGAAATGTTTGGTCCTGTAATTTGACTGGCATTTTAAACTTTGGCCTGCTGTCATGAAAGAATTCGTATTAAGTCTGTGGTACCAAAACAGATACATAAAAAGGCTTCTCTTGCCATGTACTGTATTATGCATGTCATGTAAGGCAGGAAAACTAAGCTTGGAAGCACATGAAATCCCGCAGGTTCAACTGTATGAAGTGGCAAGTACATACATACAATACTCATTTATTTCCCAAACTATATGCGGGATAAGTCCTGTTTATTAACCACAGAAATGTCTGATTGTAAAACAGAAATCATGTTGCAACTTAATGGTTGAGTTCTCAGGAGTCACTTTCAGGTATTTTTATACAGACTGCTAATTTACACAGCCAGCAACTTTTCAAAGCACTCTACCCCTGGAATACTGCGCAACCCAGCCCTGGAACATTTCTGGGAAATGAAAAGTAAAAACAAAGAGGAAACTTCTGAAGCGTTTATACATACCTTACACTGTGTTCAAAGCTTTTCCTCTCCCTCCCCTTTCCCCCCCCCTCTTGTTTTTTTCCCCCCCTCGCAAAAATGTTGGGGAAATGTAAAATGTTCTTTGTTCATGCAACACAAGGCATAGGACGTCTTCTCCTCTGTGTGCTGGTAGCAGGGCGTACAGCAGAGGCAGCAACTAGTTGCTGAACTGTTTCACATGCAGCCTGTTTTATTATCATAGAATCATAGAATCATAGAATCATAGAATCATTGAGGTTGGAAAGGGAATACTGCGCAACCCAGCCCTGGAACATTTCTGGGAAATGAAAAGTAAAAACAAAGAGGAAACTTCTGAAGCGTTTATACATACCTTACACTGTGTTCAAAGCTTTTCCTCTCCCTCCCCTTTCCCCCCCCCTCTTGTTTTTTTCCCCCCCTCGCAAAAATGTTGGGGAAATGTAAAATGTTCTTTGTTCATGCAACACAAGGCATAGGACGTCTTCTCCTCTGTGTGCTGGTAGCAGGGCGTACAGCAGAGGCAGCAACTAGTTGCTGAACTGTTTCACATGCAGCCTGTTTTATTACAACTTCTTGACTGAAAACAAGTCTTGAAGATGGCGCAAGGTTTGGTTTTGATTGAATGCTGGGTGAATCTCCTTGCTAAGGATCATAACGTCCCCTGAAAGAAAAAATACCTTGTTACCCTAAGCATGGGAAGGATGTCTGTATTCCCATGGTAAACCAGCAGCTACTTTGGGACAAGGCAATCTGTTACAGAGAACACAGAGGGTTAGCATTTAGTGTGAGCTCGCTTTGGCTTTGTGGAATAAAGACATCCTTCCAACCACTAGAGCTGTTTTTAAACCTTAAAGTACATCTCTAAGGAAAAAGCAGTTACCCAACAACAGTCTTACACCATTAACACCATCAACCTATAAGGCTGATAAATAAAGAAAACAAGTACTAGAAATGCATAGCTTCCCTCATGTTAATGGACGCTGCTTATAATTAAATCGTTAAGGAAAACCTTTAGGGCCTGAGGTCTTCTGTCTGAAAATGCTGTTGCACAAAAACCCAAGAACTCTGCATATGTGAGAATTTCAGTGAAATTTCATTTTGGTGGAGAGTAGAATTGAATTATTTCCAAGCGTTATGGCATCCTGTTTTGGCATAAAGGGAAGGAAATACTGAATTGTTTTCAAAACTTTGTTTTTATTAACATGTAAGCCCAAGATTTTGGTGGGTACAGATTACTTTTTGGAAAGTGTTTTTGGGGTGGAGGAGGGGAGCAAAGAATTCTGCGGGTTTTGAGTTCAATTCCAGAAGCAGAACACAATTAAGTAGAAGCTGTGTGTTAGGCCAAGCTTGTGTTCGCTGCCTGGGTCTGTATAAACACAGCATCTGTGAAGTTCGTGCCATTTTTGCTTAAAAAAAAAAAAGGCAAAACAACAAACACCTGCATGAAAGAAAATTGACCTTAGTCATACTTTGATATTACTCAGTTCAGTATGGGAAACTTTTATCCATACTTAAATTCTGGAAGATTGTATAGTATAACAAGGCTACGCTCTAACATTAGGCCAAGTTTTGGCTCGTTACAGAGTGTAACACTGCCCTGAACAGCCTTTTTTCTGTAAGCAGCACTCCTCGCCTAAGACTTAGTACAGAGTTGTCACTCTGACAAAAGATACTAAATTGAGCTTTTCATAAAATGTACCCACAGAAAGTACTGTAGTACTGTTATTCTAACAACACCTGCATTTCAGGAGCCTGCTTGTTTTACTGTTCTTGCTTTCTTCTTTTTGAAGGTTTTCATGGGAGGGGAAGCTAAAACAAGAGTATGAGACGGGGTTTGGAAAGCAGAGATAACATCCAGAAGAGGCATGGAAGCAGGAGATCTGGTAGAGCTGGAGTTAAAGCAGATATAGCTATGCACTGGACGGGAATAAACATGCTCCAATGCTGTTAGCTATGACCACTGCTGATTGTGCTCAGGAAAACAGTTACAACATAAAGGTGAACCTGAAACAGTGCCAGTGGTGGCCAAGGTGAGCCTCAGGAGAAAGGTGCAGGTTCCCTGAGGAAAATTGAGGGGTTTGGAGGATTCTGTGTCTCTGAACAGAAATAAGACTAAATTTTAGATCCCACTGCTTGCTCACCCATGTAAGTAAATTGGCAGCAATGTAGAAAACCATACATGTGTGTTTTCTTCTCTTGTTTTTCCTAGACACTAGAAATGACATGCAGAAGGAAAGTAACTTGAAAGAACTCCTTAAAGAACTGCCTGATGCTCATTACTGCCTGCTGAAGTATCTGTGCCAGTTCCTGATAAAGGTTGCTGAACATCATGTAGAGAACAGGATGAACCTTTGCAATCTTGCCACTGTATTTGGACCAAACTGCTTTCAGTAAGTTGGAGTTTTCACTTTTCCCTATATGTTGACAGAGAGTGTAATAGAGCAGATGGCCAGAAATGTAGCTCAGAACCCTAATCTGTCAGGGTGATCAAATGGACACAATGACTGGGGCTTTGTGATGAATTTTAGTGTTAAAGCTATTGTTTGAGCTGAATGGGAGTTGAGTTGCTCTCCCATCTCCTCTTGCTCTTTTGCTAAACAGTTGGTCAGTTTTCTATTGCTGCATTGACAGCAGAGCAGGAGTATAACAATGAAAGGCCTTCAGACTGTATAAGTGCAAGACTTGTGCTCATACAGCTTTCTTCCTTTGCCATCAGATAATATGGATGCTTCTCTGCAGAAGGCTTTAAGAAAGGATACCTGGGGAAAAGGACTCCTATGTAGCAGCCAGGTGCTGTATAATTTCTAGAGGTGGATACTGCGTAGTCTCTGCAAATTTGGCCTTGTGATCTGGTGTCTGTCCTCAGGATGCCGATGATTCTGGGCTCTTTATCCTTCTAGTATATTCAGAAACTGGTCCAGAGGTTATGGGGTTCCACTGGCCTCTTGAGACTTCTCTACTGAACTCACTAGTTTTACTAGTTTCTTTCACTGAGCCCAGTACCTTGGTGCTTGTGGTGAAGACAACGTGTTGTGCATGCTAGTGGAGCTTGCAGCGGTAGCGAGAAGAGTTATTTCCAGGTGCAAGAACACACTTGAGTGAGAACGTTTCTGTTGAGTCACTGCTGTGATGCAGTGCACCGTTAGCATCTTCACCCTGGTCTTGTCTGTAATACACCCACTGGCTGGCATCCAAGATCTAGGACATGGGAGATACATAGGGAGTTTAGTTCAGTCATCAGTCTTGAAAGATGCGTGATATCAGCGAAAAGAGACAAGTGGGTTCCTTGTAGCAAATGTCAGATCTGTGTTGACCCTTTTAAAATTTCGCTCTGGAATAATACTGAGTTGCCTAATGAGACTTAGATTAGATTAATTGCCTAATGACACTATCTCCCTAGGCTTGCTCTGTAGCCAGTGGAAAGAAGTAGACTTCTTTAAAGAGAGAAGACAGAAATTAAGTTCCTTGTAATGTATTGAGCCAGTTCCACATACCTAGGCTAGATGCTGCCTGCTGCCTTTTTAAAGGAGCATATCTTTTTCCATTGATTAGGAAAGAACATGCAGAGATGAGACATTTAAACCAAAGCTTGTCCTTGTGACTACACTGCTGCCTCGTCTTAAGATGTTGCTCATGGATGATGAAGGTGAATATGTCAGGATTAGAGCGTTCACTGTGTTAATACAAAAAGATAAAGCATATTTTGAAAAGAATTGTCTTCCTCTCCAAAAGAAAGAAAACTCAAAAGAGAGCAGTATGTGCAGGAATGCATGAATATGAGAGTTAGTGGAAGCACAATACTGCAAACTTCTGACAAGGAAAAGCAAAACAATATTTAAGGATTACCTTTGTATAGGCAGTTTGGGAATTTCTGTCTAAATGTATTAGTGGAGTCAAGAACAAACAAAATAAATTAGAAGAATCTGAGTCCAATGGCTAAATCTCTATGACTCAAACTCCCAAGTGGCTATTAGAATAATTTTTAGTTTACTCATCACTTTGTTCAGGAAAGTTTAAAAATTAGCTTTGCATACTTTTTGGTGTAGAATACGGAGAGTTGCAGTTTGGAATTGCAATTGGCATTCCTAAGATTAAACCAAAGCATACTTCTTAAAAGCTGCATAGTTGTTGCCTCAACTGATCTCTGCTCCTAAGATGACATAGAAAAGATGTAACAATTTTTGTGATGTATAGGGCCTGTGTGTAAGAGGGGCAGAGTCACATCATTCCATTGCAGAAGACTGAGAAAGGCAGAGTTCACTGGAGATGGAAACACAAGGGATCTTGTGGCTGTACATGAATGCAGCCAGCCCTGCAGTTGTGACACACAGTGAAATAAATGCTCATGTAGCAAAAGAGGCAGTGAAAGCAAGGCTTGACACTTAACAAACTGCTAATGTGTTTTTTAGAAGACCTAAATATGTCAGAATTATGGATGTAGATTTTTATTTAAACTAAAGTTCACCATCTGGTAATTCAGCTATGTGTTTCATCAGATCTTGATCTTTTCAAGGTAGTTCAGGATTGTGGTCCAGACACAAAGATTGTGAGCAACAGTTCAAATACCCTTTTCTCATGTGTTAATGGATGCAGTCTTAAATTGCTGGAACTGTGACCATCTGTATCAACAAAGATTTGATAGGAGGAGGAAAAAACTTGCAGCACTGATCTTTAGGCATTGGGCTTAGCCAGCTGGTTGGCCGAGCAGCCAGAGAGCGATCCTCAGAATGCAATTCAGAGCTCCAGAGTAAGGCTGCCTGAAGCCTGCTTGGCAAGGGCTGTCTTACTACGGGCTACAGGCAGCCCCTAGAGAGACTAGCTGCAGAAATTAAATATCAGCAGGTGGTTGAAGCGAACACTCCTCTTGCTTTGCGTTGTTTGTTCAGAGTGGTGTATGGGGTGTTTCTCTGGGACAAGGAAAGAAGGCTTAGCATCCAGCTTGTCAGCAATTACACTGCTGAAGCAGGAAGATCTGAGATTTTTCTGTCAGAAATTCACACTCGTGTCTAAAATCAGCATCAGATCCTGTGTGGTTAATGCACAGTGTCAGAGAAGATAAAGCCCATCTGCTGATAGTGAAGGATTGCTTTCAACAAGGTATTTTTAGTGACATTTTAGCTACTTAAACCTATTATCTCTTACTCCATAACTGAAGCTGTTTAACAATTGAATAAATCTCACTTTTGGGCCACTTTCCAGACATTTGGACTTTATTTTAATTCTCTTCATCTCATTCTATTTTTCTGCGTCATGTTCTCAGTAATTTATCTCATCTCCTAAACTTCCAACCCGTATTACTTTTATCTTATCCACTACTTCCCCTGCTTCCTTACCAGTGCAGTTTGTCAAACAGCAAGTGCTTTTCTAATGAAAGGTTATTTTGTGCTTTCTGTGTTTCTAATGAATAGAAGAGGGGAGAAAATAGCTATTTGCATTCCTTGTAATGAAGTGTGATGTAAGATATAGGAAAATGTAAAGGGCAAGGTCAAACAGCTCTAAAATGGAAAATATGATGGTTTGAGGTATAGTGCGCTGTCTTCTTCCAACTTGGATTTTTCAGATTTATTGTGATGGAAGCCAAAGGTCAAGTATACAGAGAAATACAGCCCTTGAGGAACAATGAGCATGAAGGTATAGGAACATAAATAGTTGTCTTTTCTGTCACTGGGCTAATCTGTGTGGAGTATTAACACTTGCAGTGTGGTTACTCTTGGAGGAAGTTATTGTCGATTGACCTGAATTTCAGCTCCTGTAGAGCCATAGCCTTAGTTACGGCCTGCTGTGTGTCTCTGCTCGGCTCTCACAGCTTGTGCTGAAGAGGAAGGAGAGGACCAGCTGGGTTTTCTCTCTTCCTCTCTGCTCTCTTGGAGTTGGGTATCAGAGGGGCTGCTGCACTCATCCTGTCCTTTGGTTGGGATGGTAAGAGACATGAGGTCTACCAGTTACGGAGTAAGCAGAGGGTCCATTTGCACCCTTTTTTGCAGCATGCTCTCAAAGAATGATCTGTGTGTGGGGCCTCCATCATTCAAGCCCTCACTAACCTGTGTTTCATTCCAACAGAGAATAAGCATGTTGTGGGGGATTGCTACATCCCTCCAAAAGTGGCTGGCAAATGGATGTATCCAGTTAAAATGCTAAAGATAGATGCAGTTATTTCTGTATGATGACTATGTAACAGAAGTTACCTGAAGGGTTGTACAAGAAAGCATTAGGTATGGAGAAAAGGTAGATCGTCTTTAGGTATGGAGAAAATGTAGATTGTCTGTAGGGTAGCTGTAGGTATTTCAGAGATTCAAACAGATTTCCACTGTGTTGCTGAATTTTTAAGAATTAAAATCTGATCTAAAGTTCTCCATGAATGTCTTGGCTTGGCTTCTAGCAGCCTTGGAACCTACACAGATTGGGTATATGAAGCTGAAGTGAAAGCAGAGGGACTGAACAAGAACTCCTCAGTGAGTAACATTGACCTTTGAAACATTATGTGAATGGACTTTGTTTTCAGGCAGTGCAGTCCCAATCCTGCATCAGTCTTCGTCAGTCTTAAAAACAAATGTGAGTCCAGGATCAGGGTCAAAGCGAGTACTGCAAATTGTCGTTCTGACATTCATTATTGCAAATTGGAGCATGCAACCTAACCTTTCTTACAGGGTTTGTATAGATTTTAAATACTGCATCTGCCAGCAGGGTAAAGGAGTTGTTTTTCATAAGAATTCAGTATGCTACACCCTATGATGCAAGTTTAAAGCATCACGCATAATATAGGAATCCGGAGCCCTTCGCCTCGGTGGCTTCGCATGTAAATGTATTAATGTATTAATGTATTAAACACTCATGAGAGCTTGCCTCCTCGTTGGGAAATGCATAAGGGACTATATTGCTGAGCCTTTCTGTGATAATTTTATATTTTCTTCTCCTGTTTCTTTTCTGTTTTGTACTCAGCTTTGTCATCTGGAGTCCACTGAATGGCCTATATGTAAAATAAACTGAAGGTTGCTAAAGATGCATTGCCCTCTTCGTGAGTGGAGGGGTGTTCTGGCCAAATTCCATCTCAAGTCCTCTGTTCTCATAGTGAACACCCAACGCTTAAAGTTTCAGTTGAGAAAGTTTCTCTTTTATGATCTGTCCAGTGCCAGGTGTTACGATATTTCCTATTTCATCTCTTGAATGAAATAGTGATTATTTCAATAGGAAATGCAAGTTGCATAAGTTGCAAGTGTTGCCAGCTGTATCATCCTAGCACACTGCTCTGCGTTTTGGTTTGGGTGGTTTTTTTGTTTTAGTTTTTGGTTGAAAAACTCCATGAAAATAAGTTACTGCTGTGGGTTGAAAATGTTCTTTCTGATCTTGATTGAGGATTGGCAATAAAGCATACACCCAGAATTTAAGTGGA